GATAAAATATGATTAATGTAGAGATAATCCTTTTTATATTGATTTAACAGTTGTAGGCACAAGCAATGTGCAATTTTCCTGAAACGCGCATTATTTGCACAGCGGCCTTCCTGTCTCGTAAAAGATTAAGCCGTTTGCAGAAGTGACAAATTAATACAAATTGTTAAAAAACAACTTTTAGTTAAAATAAAAAAGGCATTCATGACATTAGTAAGATTGTTAATTAATTTAAGAAATCGACATGTTTTTGAGTATATCAGAATACCACCCGCTATCCCGCTTACAATGTGACATGATTTAAAATTTATTGGAATCTAGATGCGAAACACGGCCTTAAGAGCGTTTTCATATTTAAACATCGTTTCGGTAATTTATCTGTTAGATTTTTACATCATTGATAACTAAATTCAAAAGACCTATGTGCCAAAGTGCCACCGAGTGTGTCTTGTTGCCACTGATTTTTTTTAAATAATGAATCGGAAGACAGACATCATTTACCACAATAGCTTCGACACTCAAAACCCACAGTTATACGTTTCAATCGATTCGTAACGCTATGAATGTTACAATTACACGGTATGTAATCTGCAATGTACACAATAAATAAAATATTTGTCTTATTAAAACACTAGGTATTTCATTGTGACATTCTGCATACTTGAGATATAATACAAATAGAAGAGAATCATTAATATTTACGCAATGGTCATAATTAACATACGAGTAACTTACCTTAGTGTAGATTTAGTTTTAGAAATATACAATAAGGGCCAACCTCTATGTGACCTTTAGTGTAATTTCTTAAAAACTAACTAATTACTTTTATACTAAATTGTATAGATACATATGTAGTAGTCTTTACAAGTAGAGATTCAAATGTAACAAAGAAATGTGTCATTGACCATCTATCAAGTTTAATCTTTGACCTGCGCGAACGCATTATAAAGTAAAGTAAGGTCGCAATACAAACATTGTCCATCCGTTGAGACGGTCAGTCGAAAGCAGACGCGCGAGTCGGTACAACGTTAGCGCGCGAATTAAAAATTTAAATTTTGTTTTTAATTTAAAATAAAATAACAAAATGCTGTTCTATTTCATCACGGTTTTGTTATTGGCCAGTGTTCAAGCGAAGTTTTACACGGATTGTGGTATTTATATTTTTAATCTATTTTTTTGTTTGACAGATTACGTCCATATCTGTTTTACAATAACAAATTGGTTGTTATAATGATTTATCTTTTGTTTGCTCTGCAAACGACGCCAAATGATTTACCTACTCGAGTTTCATCTATGTTATTTTTGTAATATTTTCCCGTTAATCTTAAACTCCAGGGAATTTTGACATATGACTTAAATTAAAACACTTTCGAAATCATTTAGTTATAGACTCCATTCTTGTATCTTTTCGATTTTTGTAATACATTCTTGATTTTGTTTCCACTTAGTGTTACTTTGAAACATGTATTGTCTGGTTTCCAATGAGAATGACAATGTATACAATTGTTCAAGTACGTACAGACATGGTTTTACATGTGAAATGTACCGTTTTGTAAAACTGTCATCCTATGAGATCTAAAAATTACTATTTATTTGAACGATGAATAGTAAATGTTTTCAATTACAATATTAGCAGATTTTTGTTAATCGTACTAACATTATAAACGTGAATGTTTAGATGGAGGAACGTTAGTGTTTGTAGCCTAAACTGATTAAGGGATCTCTATGGTATATGGCAATGATGTAGACCTCAACCACTGTGCCGCCAAATTTTGCATATTTTTGTCATAAACTATTTATGTAGTGTGTTGTAGTGAGTTTCTTTGTGTGCCGCCAAATTTTGAAATCGTTAAATATGTTCCGTAACATAAAAAAGGTTGAAAATCACTGATGTAGACGATAGTCTCTAAGAATATAGACTTTTTGCTTTTTTTTAATACAATGAGGATGGAGTCTGAGACGGCTAGTTTACTAATATTTCTTGTACCATTCCAACTCAGCTCTATGTTTGTGATAGGAATGGATTGCAATGTTCGGATGACTGGAACCGAAATCGGTACCCTTAACATTTGCCATTGGGTCTTTTTTGGCGTTATAAAGATATAGTTCCATAATAAATGACCTTTAATGCGGTATGTCATTGTCACAAATATAGTTAGTATAAGGTCATGCACACATGATTTTATTATCACTTGCAAATGACGCGTATTATTGTTACCGTCAGACTACTGCTGATAGAACCAAAACTATTGTTGTCCCTTTTCATTCTCTTTGTGAAAATAGAGACAATATATTTATAGCGCCTTAATAAATGCCTTGTAACCTTTTTTTACTGAGTTCATAAATATTCCTTGTAAATTAACTTCAAGTGCGAATTAGATCAAATTTATTGTTCTTTTGATTTTAGTAGCAAATAAACAATTCCAGACTGTAACTAGTATGTCGCTGTTCAACGTTTCATTCTGATCACAGATAATAAAATATTACACTAGTACAAAAAAAAGCCGTT